AAAAAAAAAAAAAAGAAAAAAGAAAAAGAGAAAAAGAAAAATTTGTAACAATGGATTATAGAGAAACCGTAGAGAAGAAACGCCCGTGAACGTGGACGAAACGCTCGTCCGCTTGTAAAATTTTATACCCGGCCATTATTGGCTTCCATTTTCCAGTAATTATCTTTTTATTGCGTTATTCGATCATCGCGCGATCACCTCCTCTATTTATTAGTCCCTGTGCTCTCTGCCTGAAATCCTCTCTTTTTCTATCTTCTTCTTCTTCTTTTTTTTTTTAATACGGTGGAACGACCGGATGTATCGGTTCGAAAATGTACTTCCTGCTGTCGGTTTAATACCCAAGGAGAGATTTAAGAAGGAAGAAACTTTTCTTTTGCATCTATTTTTTTTTTTTTTCTCGTACGAGAACGATTACGATATACGAGGAGTTAGCGATTCGATGAAGCAACAATGAAGCATCACCAATAAAAGAAATACTTGGATTTTATCCTAACAATGAAACGAATGAACCATCCTAATGTTTATCGATCGGAAGCCGAAAACCGATCAGCTGGATTTATTAAAAAATCCTTTATCTTAAAAAATTAAACGATCAACACTCAACAGAGCCAATTCTCTTCTTGCCAATAATAAAAAAACGCGTGGAAATATCCTACAGTCGATTCTTTTTCAAAAAAAAGAAAAAAAAAAGGAAAAAAAAAGATGGAAACTTTATCAAAATGTTGCACCTTGTTGCATCAATGAGGCAAACGCGGCTTAAGAATTGTTTTAAAGCGCGGAACGACAAACCGCGACAAATGGCGACAAACGGTGACAAACGACGAAGTTTGCGCTCCAGCACCGACAATTGACCGTCTCCCAGTGACGAATGTATGTACATCATTTTGCGGCCGCAATCTCGTGCCCGTCAATTCATTAATTAATCGGTGGACAGGCCGCGCGTCGCTCGCTGCGTGCACGTTGCCAATTACCGGCACATTGTCGCGCATAAATCATTAGCAAACGTGACGCTTCCATAATTCGGTTAATTTGCACTGTTTTTGCTCCGCTTTGCCACCGTGTACCGCTTATATTTCAATTTTCTATCGTGAACCAATTCTAATCTCTATTACCGATACAGGATAAAATTATTCCAAATCCGCCGTGATTTAGAATTGAATTCGATAATTCGTAATAGTAGGGATTAGAAATTTTTTAAAAATTTGCTAGAAAAATAATGTATAGCGATTTGTCTTGACAAATCGTTCCAAATTTTTCCAATCTTCTTCTCATCGCGGATCTGTTATTATTATCGATACTTTTAAAATTTCAGAATTCTGAATGAATCATGATGAATTCTAAGAGGTTGCTATAAAATCTAATAGATATTTAAGAAATTGTATATTTAAATATGGGAATTGCACTTAAAAGATCGCACACGTTCGATTCCTATCCAACACGAATCGTGGGAACGATAAAAATCAACGATTAATATCGCGATAGATTAAAAGAGAAAGAAATTTGCAACACGATTTCTACATCGTAAATTTCGTGAGCTTTTAATTCTTACTTCTTCGTCGCATGTATTTTTTTTTTTTTTTGTTTTCGTCACAATATACGCGATAACAGAATTATAGAATTATAGAAGATCGATAATCAATCGAGATAAACTGAGCATTTTAAAAATAACAATCATTTCTATTCCTCTTTTTTATTCTATTCCCGAATGGTACGTACGTACGATTGATGGAATTGAGAATCGTACAAAGGGAGAGTACTGGCAATGGTAGAGTACTTAATAAATCGTCCCGAAAAGATACGACGTTCGTGTGCGTGGAACGTTCCCAAATGCGAGGCTCGTGACTATCGCGGCTTATCGAGATGCGTGTGAGTCAGTCATTAATAAAAGGGTCGCAATGCTCACGGTGAAAAGCGGAGAGAGAGCGAGGGCTCGTATCGATCAAATAACCATCGGCCGCCATGTGGAAAGACATTGGCTCGGGGGATTTCCGTTTCTAGTGTGAGCCATGGCGTTAATCAACCTTGCAAATTCATCGTCAGTAAAAAAAAAAAAGAAGAGAGAGAGAATGGAGGACGAAATAAACGTTTATAAAAAATAAAATTTTTCGATCATTCTTTTTCTCCTTCTTCTTTTTCTTTCTCTAGGATTGAAAATAAATTTATACATGGTTACATTTATGAGGTTGATTCGAACTTCAATCCACGCAAGATTATAATTAAAATTTTCCTTCGAAATATCGATTTCTATTTATACGTCGAGAGAGTCGGTTCGAGGAAAGATTTTAATAGAGGAAAAATTCGACCTACGTAGCACGGCGTAAGAGTTGTGTACTAGTTGCCGAGATAATACGTATGCGTACATTTGTTACGTGTCCAACATCCCGTGCGTCCAGGAAGTTTCGTATCGAATTTATCAAAAACACGACGGGAAGCCTGTTATAAGATGATAGGCCAAGGAGAAAGTGAGCCAGCGTACGGTAAACGCTGACAAAAATTCTATCAGGAACAATCACTGTGAAATCATAGTTGCCTTGGCGACTACAAAAATTCGAGCATTACATTATCCACAGTTAGTTAAGAACTTTAAATGAAAATACTTAGAGGAACTTTAATCAGAAACTTTAATTACAAACCGTACCCCTAAACCGTTAATATTATAAAACGAGTTCAATTCTGGATAAAATGTAATATCCAGAGAGAATAATGAGCGTAGAAAATAAATGAAAAAAATAAAAAATCGAGAGAGATCGCAATCAAATATCACGCCGCGTTAATAATAAAATTCTATGCTATTTACAAGTGGAATGTTTCGATTTCAACAAAGATTAAAATCAAAAAAAAAAAAAAAATCCTACGTCGACGGATTCCTAGCAACCAAATGCGTAATAATAACAAAATCTTGAGACGCGTGACTAGTCCACGCGTTGGAGGACGTCGCTTCAAGAAATTTTTCCACACGAACGTTCTGACCTGGCTGCTTTTGATACATTGTTGCTCGAGTTGAAAAGGAGCGGTGTTGTACGTTTAGACCGTACGTTTTAGGACTGGAACAGTGTGCAAGTCACGTGCGTACACGCGGCGATGAGTTAGTGTACGTGGTGCACAGCCCGATTTATTGATCACACGCGTCGCACGCAATATACGACGCGTGTGCGTGTCGCAACGAACGGCCTACGAACTTGAAACGAATTCCTAGTCTGGAATCCTAGTTGTAACATGTGCATAGGAACCGGCCTGCATTAACATAAAACCGTGAAAGGACACGAAATTCGACGACCGATCGTCGGGTGGGGATAGAAAATCGAGGTATCATTCGATAAATATATTAACTATGTTAATGTAATGGCTAATGAATCATTTTAGGAAACGTATAACTCGAAATTAATTTGGAAAATATTGTTAAAAGATAGGGAGAATCGTTTCACCCTTCGCGATATTATTTCGATTTATTTTATTTTGCTCCAATACTCTCAACTTTAAAAAGTTTGATAAATAATTCAGAAAATCCAAGTATTCAATAATGAAATTTTATATAAACGAAATATACGCGGAGAGAGGCTAGGATCTAAAATTTATCTTAAATACCTATTTAAATTTTTCTACATATATGATACAATCACTACAAAGAAATCTCTTTGAATTCTTGATCAAGAAATAATCAAGAATACAATAATCGATTCGCAAGAAAACAGATTGTATCAAATTGAGATTAATTAAGAATCACACGATCGTGAAAATTCGTTTCGAACAATCTTTTCACAGACGATTATCGATTTAATCGTCTTAACTCAAACAATTAAATTCATCGATTAATCATTCGAGCGAATGAAAAAAAAAAAAAAAAAAAGAAAAGAAAAGGAACGTAGCATTAAGAGTTGGAATAATAAAGTCTAATCGGAACGAGATGAGTGGAAAGGGATTTGGAGAAACGGTTGGCGACGTAACGCGGCTAAGAAACGGTAGGCAAGGCGGCAAACAAATTAACGGACGAGTCATTCGAGCGAGACGATTACGATACGATCGTTCCGCTGGAGACACAGATGAAAAAGGTTAGAGAAACTAAACTCATCTATGCTATGGATCAGAACAAAAACGCGTTACTTACAGATCGTACGTATAATAAACGGACTATGATAAAATGATACACGGCTACTGTGTGGACTCGAAACCGCGAGAAACACGAGCCTCGTGACACAAACTGGTGCAATTGCAATTCACGCAACTCTGCAACACGATTATACTGTGACCACGGATCCAATATCGCGGAAGAATTCTTCGATGTAATTTTAAACACGAATCTCGAAGGTGTATCGGGCAGAGAGAAGAAGAAAAAAAAAAATGGCGACAGTAGCAAGCAAGAATTTTCGCGCGTCCTACTCACGAAGTCGAGTCCACGTAATTTCTATAAAGGCATGACTACGCAGCGAGAGCAGTGACGGCGTAGTTAACGACGTGGGCCGTGGTCGATCGTGCAATTAACTTTAACGAACGGCGGCCTTGCGATTAAACTTAATTAGTATCGCGGTAATAACTCGTTAATAATCAGAGCGGTGTAGCGCGTCGCGGCCATAACACGCTCGTATTCTTCGTGCACGTGTGTGCACGTGCGCTCGAGACGCGATTTTAAAGCATGCATGTGTTCCATTTCGTTTCTCTCTTTCTTTATCTGTTTTATATATTTACGTGACTATACGTGGGCCAAGGGAAGAAAGACACGACGAGAGATGTTTATAAGGATGGACGTTTGAATCGGCGGAAAAGGCTCCTTCCTTCCTCCTCCTTTTTTTTTAACGACGACGCTCACGACGTGAAGGCGTGTACATAGCGAACCAGCACAATCATCACCAACAATCAACGAATTGCTAACGTAAGAAAATTATCACGTATGAAATTTATCAATTCACTGGCCGTGTCCGTTGGCGGCACATTTTCCTTCCAATCTTTTGGCCAGGGATATCGTGTACTTCGTGTGTATTGGTGTCTTCAACGATGGAACACAAAAATTGTACAACACCACCAATAGGATCCAAGTTTTCGATCGGTTTTCTTCGTGTTCCCGTTTCTCGTTTCACTTACAGACAAAGGATTATCGTTGGTTGCCAGCAAAACACATCGAGACAGCCACCATTGAGGAACTCGGGACTGAATATAAACAGACAGAGAGAAGAAAACGTTCGGAGTGTAGAACCGGCACTGACTGAATGATCGACTGACTGACTGAATGGCCGACTGGTTGACTGGCAGCGAGACGCGCGCTCTTCTGTTGCGAGTCTACACCGGCGAGCCACTGCGTTCCTTCTTCTTCCTTTCCGTGTGTGTTTAACAGGCTTTCCCTCACACTAGTTAGTCCTTCGTGTTCCCCGGATAGACAAACGTAGCCTTCGACAAGCCTTTCCGGCTTTTCCACACGACGATACGGAATATGTACAAACTAAGGATTCCCGAGAGAATAGCGTCTCTGTCAGCCGCGTATCTACCGGACGAAATAAACAAGAGGGACGCGCGAGCGACGAGATTACGATCCGCCGTGGAAAAGAACGGAGAAAGAGAACAAAAAAAAAAATAGAAAAATAGAGCGCGCGAGACGTGCTCTGTTCTATCCCGGACTGTACTTAGTCAAACGTAGCTGACGAACAAACGTAAAAACGTGCACTACCGTCTCTCTCTCCCGGCTGCGACGAGCGAGGCGGTTAGAACATCGAGCACGAACCTGATTGCGGGGCGGCGCACCGAATTATGGGCCGCTATGCGCTTTCGGCGGCCTCTCGCTCCCTCTCCACCATCTAACTCTCTCCTGCTCTCGCTATCGGCTTCCCTCTCGCGCTACCCGGTATTCCATCCCCACCATCGGCTGTTGACTTGCCCCCACCACATCACCCCGAACCTCTCTGCTCGTGCTAGACGACTCACTCCCACCAGAAACGCGAACACGCTTCTAGACTCCGCTCTATACATACACGTTCCCCTACCACCGTTGTATTGTTGGCGCGAGCGGTAGCATTGCCCCTTTGCGCCTGACTACGAACCTCTCTCGCGCGAGAGCAACGTTGCCACCTTACGGCGTAGCCGCGGGGATGATGAACGTGGCCGGCTGAAAAGAGTGTAGCATCGTCGCCGCGCGGTGACTCGCGCCGATACGCGGCCGACAACTGGCTCGCTCGGTACACGCGACGTTGCTCGCGGGATGGAGGAACGCCACTTCCGACCGGAAGTCACGACGCTTCTGCTCCTGTCACCAGGCCAGACGATCCTTTGTCGCGGTTGATCGATGATTGGATAACGCGGTAGAACAGGTAGCGGGAAAGGGTTATTTTTTGACAGAGAGGGGAAAGTTCGAGGGATGCTTCTATATTTGGAGGGGAAACTTCTTTTTTTTTGTACGGTATAAGCGTATAAGGGTGTCTAGGTAGCAAGGGTAGGTTAGAAGGAAGCTTGTTGGTTTCGGAGATTAAGGGATGGAATTTTTGTGGGCTTCGTGAATTTTGTTAGTCTTTCGTTATTCGGGGATATCGATGAAGACATTCGTTTAAACTCTCGTTAATTAATTATTCCATTATCCCAATTGGAAATGATGGTTCCTTTAATTCCACTTTGATCACAATCGTCGTGCATAAAAGTTTAAAGAATCATAAACGAGCACTTCGTCTTTAAACGACCAATTTAAACGATTACCGTGGAGAAAGACAATGTTCTGATTCCAGCCACCAGCATGCAGCACTGCATAGGTGTACGCTGTTACCGTTCACTTCGTAGTACTTTATTTTTAACGATCAATAACGTTCGATCAGAACGTGGCCGGTTATTTGTTTGAAATAAATTCGTGTCTTCATCGAAAGTTGGTGGGGTAAACTCGAGTGTTACTCACTGCAGGTCGGTAAGGGAAACGAAATCACGGGATGGAATCATGAGGAGAGTGACTGTTTCTCTCGTAGAAAACTGCAGATCCGCGTTTCCTCTCTTTTGCAAATGTACTTTCTTTCGTGACACTTCTTCTACCCTCCGTCAGATGTCGGGACTATCGATAAAGGGGGTGGTTTTATCCCCCTTTTCGACGCGACAATCTTCGAATACCAGAACTGGATAGGATCGAGGATAGGTGACTTGGTATCTCGTTGTCATCGATTATTTATATGAGAATAGCTTCTATGTATGAATTCGTTTAACTAATTACAACATCCAATAATTGTATTAATTTTCATTCAGCTCAGACCGTTGCATTAAGCATTAAGTTAATAACATATAATTAAACGAAAACGGTACTCTTAATGACTGTTTCACGACAAATAGCTTAACGACGTATAGTCATTTGGAAATAGAGTAGACGAGTGCAACGAGAGTCAATTGCAATAACGATGTTTGTAATGCAATTTATTTTAATCGCCAGTTTCTACGTTATTATTTCTAAATTGAAACTTAAAACACGTCACAAAAGCGACGTTTAATGAAAGTTCATCGTTGATTCATTTCGTACGAAACGAAAATTTTTGCCAGCAATACGATTATCCACCGATGAAGCATCGTTGAAACAATCGTTCGTACCTCTGTACATCATATTTGTAATTCAGATGATAAGAGAAACAATAAAAGAGAAATATCGATGAATTTGAATGGAACTGCAGAAGATATCGAATATATATTCTTGTTCCACAATTCTATTCTATTTCCTCGTCGAATACTTATTTATTTATATAAATCGAACGAAATCTTCAACGATTCCTAAAAAAATTAAAATTCATCAATCGAATCTCGAATCGAATTATCCATATGATACCGCAGGAGTATCCATATAGCAAGGCTATGTACACTGCCGCCACTGTTACAATGAATGCGGTTAAAGCAAGGTCATCCCTTGACACTTTCACCCTGCGATCCCAAAAGACCGCAAGCTCATCTCATCTCGAACCGCCTCCTACAGACTTCCTCAACTTCCACCAGATCATTTCCAACTTTCACCCGCCAATCCGATCGAGCCACCTCTATCGCCGATACAAGGTGAGATTAACAAAAAGAAAGGATCAGAAACGCAACCACGTGTCGAGCAACCCTCACGCCAGTGGAGAAAGGCGCGTGTTGATGCGCCGCAGCGTAGCTCGCGTGCGCTGGCGCATGCGATCGATACTTTAGACCGCCGGGGTTTTCACGTCCCCGCGCGACGTCACGATACAAGAGCCGAGCAAGACCGACCGAGGACGAGGCCGACCGAGACCGGCCGAGGTAGCGCGAGCCGCGGTAGCAGCAGCCGTCGACGCGAGCACGGCCCCAACCGTCACCGTCGTTTCGACGTCGTGGACACTTTCTTGCCGCCGGATCGTCCACGCGGAAATCCGTCATTCGGGTCGCGAATAAACCTCGTTCCATTCTCCCCTGTAACAGCCATCGAACGCGTTATTCGGATTAATAGCTGGCACAGTGGGACGTGAGCCGCGCGCGAAAGTGTGATCGCCAGTGGTGTGCTCGTCTTTTCACTTTGGAAAAGCTCGCTTATACCGAGAGACACTGGGTCGAACCAAGGATCGAGTAAGTTTCGCGATACGATGTGACTCCGTGGTTACTTCAATTTCCATACGGTGTTTCGTCCCGTACGCTCGCGTTTTTCGAATCACGACTCGTAACACAGGATGGATCGATCCTTTCCCCGTATTCTCTCATTTACAGAATCGAATTATCTGGAAAAATGAGGCGGCGATACCGTTACGATACCCAGTCGACGCGTCCTCGACTCTCGGTCTGACTCGTGACCGTCACATTCTACTGTCGCGTAACGCGTTCCTTTACTCCTTCAGCCTGTGAAAAGATCGAAAGAGGTGGTGATCGAAAGGGGGCAAAAATTACAGAGAGAGGAGAGCATCGTTAGAGCATCTTTTTCTTGGAGAAAGGACGGGAGGGAACGGTTTAATGGTCGTGTCTGAGCGGAGACAAACCGCAACCCCTTTAGGTCGCAGCGCAGCTGAGCTCGACCGGGCGCGACCCACAACCCTACATTCGCGGTCTGCGGCGTGACCTAACCTCAACTCACCCCACCTTGGGCCGAGCTTCGTTGCCACCCTCTCTCCTTCGAAAGGCTGGAACGTCGGAGAGGACGGTTTACGCACCGGTTTATCGTTTGATTTCATGCCAGTTCGCGCCTCGATTCTTTCAGCCTCGCAACGTTCCTTCCGCGTTTCTCTCTCTTCGAGTCATTGCCGAGTCAGTCGAGCTTGTATAGTATAGCTCCCCGTGGTCAGGAGACACGTCACGTTTTGCGCTAACCACTCGAGCTAGCGATGCGGAGAGCAGCCATAACTTTCGAATGGTCGAGTCTGACCTTGGCAGAGAGAAGTTCCACGTTTGTCACTATCAATGGTCTTCGTCTTCCAACGGTGACACTTTAATTAATGGTCATCGATTTAACGAGTCGAGGTTGGCATAATTAATAATGTTTCAACGATCGTTGAGATAACGATTTGATAAAATTTGTGTTGGCTTTGTTTTCTTGTGAATGAAATTTTGTGATATTTAAAGAAAGAAAATTATTCGTGGAAAACTTACTTGAGAAATTTACGTCGAAAAATCGAAATCGAGTTTTGAACAGTTTAATACAGACACACACATGTATGCATATTATTTAAATCGTTTCGAATTACAGTTTGCATCGATAAGTTATCGTATACGAAAACATCAATTTGTCGATCCCAAGCAAGAAACATAAACTACGAAAGACATTGACGAAACGTTGGATAGAGAGCACACGAGGAAACAATAGGGGAACACGTGTCATTGTGTCAAAATAGCTTGGCTCACTAAATTTAAATTGAATTATCCGTCGCGACGTATGGTAACGGCGTGAAAATTGAATTTACATCTTACGTAGTTGCGGTAGTGTTACATCGTACGCCAAAGGCTGTGAGAATTATAGGCCCCTTTATCGAATAGTCTCGCCTTTTCTTCTTCGTGCGCGCGCGTGTGTGTGACTCTGTAAAAACATATCCACGGATAAAACGGTGTTATCGTAAACGTGACTGAACTTTTTCAATTCCAATATCGGGAATAAAATGACAAAAAATATCACGTTCTTCCTTACTTGAAAATATACGTGAATCTAAATCCGATCCAACTACGAAAATAATAAATTCAAGTAATTCGATCGATCGGCCAATTCCACAATTCCGAATTCGCCAACGCATCTCGTATCATCTCCAATCACCTCCAATCGATCCCTTCTAAAACCCCCCTTTATTTACAGATCTATTTACATTCGAAGCGCGTCATCTTCAGCCGCCACTCTCTCGCTACTTCCGTTTCTTCACTGCCGCTTCGCCGCCTCTAGCCACCCATCCTTCCGCGAGAGCAAGAGAGAGACAAGGTAAAAAAACGCGCCACTCTAAGAGGACGATCTTGAAAATCCTGAGAAAAAAGCTGCTCTAAAAGAAAAGAAAAGAAGAATCGAAAAGAGTAGAGAGGAAGGAAAAAAGAAGAAAAGAAAAGAAACGAAGAGAGAGAGTGAGAGAGAGAAGAATCGCGGTGAGGAGGGGAGGGGCGCGTAGAATCGCAAGTGGAAGAAGAAGAGTTGGGTCGTGAGGGGTCCAAAAAGCGTAGCGTTCGGGTGTGATGTGGTGGAGCCCCCCGAGGGGCCGCGGGGGCAGGAGGTTCGAGGCAGATCGGTGGTGAGGGCCCCAGGCACGGCTCGGTTGCCCCGCGGCGAGGTCGCCGGGGGGGCGGGGGACGAGGTAGGATGGTGTGACCTCCGGCGTTATCCCGCCCGACGCGGAGGTGGTGCTGGAGGTGGCGGAGGCGGTGGTGGAGGAGGTGGCGGTGGAGCCGAGCAGCTGCTGCTCGACTCGCAGGAGGAGGAGCCGACGGCGATGTCGAGGCAGCTCCGCGTTGAACGGGACCACGTGAGCCGTTGCGACCTCCAAGAACAGCGCGACTTCCGCGACCTTCGGGACCTACGCGACCGGGACCCCAGGGATCTCAGGGATTACCGGGACAGGGATATCAGGGACGACAGGGACGACGTGGAGAGGGTGCGGGACGATTACCTGGATTACGATCATCATCCTACCGCTGCGTCCACTTCGGCGCTCACCAACAATCCGGTGAGTTTCTCACTTTCAGTTTCTGCTTTTTTCCCTTCCCCCCCCCCTTTAATTGACAATCGATGGATCGATCATCCGTGACGTTTGTGCTTTCTCTCTTCTTTTTTTTTCTTTTTTTCGAAATTAACAATAGCTGAGTGGATCCATAATTTTGCTGGATCTGATCCAATGATCCGCTGAATCCGTGTTTTTCTTTTTTTGTTTCTTTTTTTTAAATTATCGATTTTTGGGACGAGAAGCGTTTATTTAGGATCGATACGGTTCGCTCGTAGAGAGTAGGATGAATGGAGTAGTAGTTTTTTTTTTTTTTTTTTTTAAGGTTAAGGTGAGAGTAGGTAATAAAAAGCTGGGAAGAAAAGGGCCACTTCAGACTGTACAAAGGTCAAGGTTTTTGATACCACTGTTGGTCGGATGGTGATAAGCAGTGGGTATCATTATTGCAGAAGTAGAGTTGAAGGGGCTTGTGAATACGGGAGGTGCGAAAGGGGATGAGGTACTCCACTTTTTGTATCAAGGTCAAGGTTTTTTGGTACCATTTCTAAGGAAGAAAGTTGCTCGTCGAAAATGCTTGAAATTAATTTTGAAATCGAATCGTTGTTTCGCGAGACAATTTTTTTCCTTTTCTCTTTTGTATTTTACATATCTGAGCGATATATTATTTGTATACACACGTGCGACAAGGAAACGATATCGATTATCTAATTCGGGCACTCTATTTTATCTAACTTTCGTATCTCGTTATCTCTCATCATCCATATCGAAATATTCATTAATTTTGAAAGTTTCGTGAGAAGAAAGCGTGTTGGAAGCGTGTATTCTCAACATTCCCGAACAACATGTCCAACAGTTCAAACTTTATTTCGTACAAGAGAAATAACGTTACGAAAAAGTTAAAAGCTACTTGTCTTTTCTTTGAAATTTACGTTTATCGAATCGAATCGACGACACATCTATTCATCCTATTTACCAAGTTTGAACATACGGAGTGTGATAGATAGCGTTGCACAACGTGCCGTCACATATGAAAATTTCCAGGAAGCGATATTCACGCACAGAGAGGGTGTCTCTTCTAAATAAACTTTAGAAAAACACGTGTTATATATGTGGAAGGGAATTGCGACCATTCGTCTGAAACATTTCTCTTTGATATTTCGCCTACCATTGCGCAACGTTACGTTACCATTACGTTACCGTTTGCACGCCATTCCCGTACTGTGCTCTACAAACTTTCCATCAACCTCGGTACTCGTCGATCGAAACGAATTCTATTTTCCATACCACGTACCGATTACCGATCGTTAATCTCCCTATAATTTATACCATTACTCGAACATTGCATTAGCCGAAAATTACGCAATATCGCGTTTTCGATAATTTATAGAGAGCTCTGACTAACCATCGAGCGCGACGTGATTTATCATCCACGCCTTTTTCTTCTTCTTCTTCTTCTTCTTTTTTCTAAAGAGGAATCAAAAGTACAGATACGCTCTGTACTTTTTCCGTAGCAGCAGGCAGTAGATAGAATTCCAGAAAACTAGTTCATCGGGAAAGGAATGCGAAGAGTCGCCTAATTTATTCCAGTTGCGTTCACGCGCGCGCGCGCGCGCGAGAGAGAGAGAGAGAGAGAGAGAGAGAGAGAGAGAGAGAGATGAGACGCGACGACCGACGGA